AAAATAAACAAGAACAAAAGCACAAAAGGAAAAATCGTGAGAGAAAGAGAATAAATAAGCAGATAAAGGAAGGGAATGAAAGCAAGAACCACACAAACAGAATGGAAGTGAGAGACAGAACAAAACAAACAAGAAGAAGGAAAGCGAGAGAAAACAACAAAAACACAAATAACGATAGTGAGAGAAAGAAAAAACGGGATTAACGAAACAACAAAAAACAAATAAATGATAGAGAAAATACAAAAAGAAAACGAGATTAAATAAAAAACAAGCACAAACAACGAGAAAAAGAGAAAGAGCAAAAAATACGGGATTAAAGAAACAACAAAACACAAAAAACGATAGTGAGAGAAAAAAACAAAAAAACGATATTAACAAAACAACAAAAACACAAAAAGAACAAAAGAGCGAAAGAACAAAAAAGAAGACAAAGAAAAAAAAGAGTAAGAGAAAGAACAAAAAGATTAAAGAAACAACTAAAACACACAAATAAAAGAAAGAAAGAGAAGAGAGAGAGAAGAAAGAAAGAGAGAGAAAAAAAAACACAAAAAAGAACGAGAGTAAGAGAAAGAACAACACCCAAAGCAGTGCCACGGAAGGACGAGATCCCGCAGACACGGCGCGGGCCACACACATCGACTGAGCTGGGTGGCACCGGGCCTCCTCCTGCAATCCACTCCTCCGGCCGAGCATCACGATTCCTCCTACTACTACCTACTTCCTCCTCCTCCTTTTCCTCCTCTTCCTCTCTTTTCCTCCTCTTCCTCTTCCTCCTACTTTTCCTCCTCTTCCTCCTCTTCCTCTTTCTCTTACTCTTACTCTTACACTTACTCCTCTTCTTCTTCATCTTCTTCCTCCTTCTCCTTTTCTTTTAACTCCTTCTCTTCCTCTTCCTCCTCCTTCTCCTTTTCCTCTTCCTTCTCCTCCTCCTTTTCCTCTTCCTTCTATTCTTATTCCTATTCCTCTTCTCCTCCCTCCTCTTCTCTCCTCCTCTTCTCTTCTCCTTCCTTCCTCTTCCTCTTCACCTCCTCTTCCTCTTCCTCCCTTTCTCCTTCCACCTCTCCTTTTCCATCCTTTCTTCTTCCTCCTCCTCCTCGTCGACTTCCTCCTCTTCTTCTTCTTCCTCTTCCTCCTCTCCTTTTCATCCTCCTCTACTCCTTTTCTTTTCTTCTTCCTCCTCTCTTTCCTCTTCTTTCTCCTCGTCGTCGTCCACCGTTTCTTCTTCTTCATCCTCATCCTCTCCTCCTCCCCCTCCTCCTCCTCCTCCTCCTCCTCCTCTTCCTCCTTCTTTTTTTCTTCCTCCACTTCTTCTTGCTCCTCCTCTACCTCCTCCTCTTCCCCCTCCTTACTCTCTTCCTTCTCCTCTTCCTTGCCCTCCCCACTTTTTCCTCCTTACTTCTCGAATAAAAGATAAATAAAATGAAAAAAAAAATAAGTAATAGAAAAATTCTTTGATTACATATCTTGCCTTTGGATAATAATATTTGAACGTATATACATATTACAACATTGATATATTTTTTCCTTATATCTATTCTTACAAGATGAAAACCTGTTCTTGTCAAACCTCGTTTATACTTTCAGATATCTAAGCTTTAAATGTCTATTTGTTTCGTTTTTCTTGCTTTGACTGAAAAAAATGAATGTTCATTATATAGAATATCATTGCAATTAGACCGCTTATGATAGATGAAAGTAAAAAGGAAGTGAAAGAGAGGGAAGAGATGAGAGATAGAAAAGAGTGGAGAGAGGTACAGAGAGTGTGAAGAAAGAGAGAAAGGGTGCGTAGGAGAGAAGCAGGAAAAGAGAATAAGAGGGAGAAGGAAAGAGTGAGAGAGGGAGATAGAGAGAGAAAGAGAGAGAGAAACAAAGAAAGAATGAAAAAGAGAAAGATAGAAAGAAAGAGAGAGAAAGAAAAAGAGAGAGAGAGAAAAAAAAAAAAAAACAAAGCGAGACGGACAGAAAGACAAAAAAAAGACACAAAAACGAACGAGGCGTGACAGACAAACAGACAGACCCAGAAACAGCTCAGCAGAGGTCATGTGCACCCGACCGAGACCAGGCAAGAGGCGAGGCATGAACTGGCCGCCCCACGAGGAGGCAGCGCCAGAAATGCCATTCCATCACAGACCCCCCCACCCCCACCCCCACTCCCCCGTTCTTTGTCCTGACAGGAATTCCCGGATGACTGCAGTAAGCAAAGGAGACTTGCATTGCCGACGACGAGTAAATCCCTTTCAATAAAGCGAACGGAAATACGGACGGAGGAGAGAAGCAAAAATATATATATTTAAATAAATAAATAAAAAGCAAGAACGAAAGGACGATAGAGAAGAGGAGGGAAGAAGGGAGAGCGGAGAGAGAAGTCTGAGACCGAGACGGAGAAAAGGGGGAGAGAACATACACGAAGAAACAAATAGAGAGGATGAGGGAGAAACAGGGTTCACGAAACTCAAACATTAATCAAGTCAAAAACTTTCTCCTTCTGCTTTGGGTGAAG